GGTCCTCACATTTCTGAGTAATATTCCTTGAATTATTATTGGGTGAAATGTCTAATGGTAAATGTTTAATCCCAATATACATATCATACATGCTCAGTCTCTAACTGTGCATCTCTGAGCTAAGGTTAACTCAATCCTTTAATGCTAGGACATTGATTGCAAGACATTAGCTCCTTGTTCCTCAGCCTCTTAATAATTGCATAATGGTAAACCTAGACACGTGCATTTTATAGTATTCCTAGTGGTGATGCAAGTCTCACTACCTTGGCTACACCCACTGGATACGACTATGGACCTATAGCATTCACATAATAATGGAGTCAGATTGGTAAATGTAGTTTATTATTATTCTACATAATGGAGACCCCTCATCCTCAGTCGATGGGGATTACCACCAACCTACATAATGGTTGGATCATTTACACCAACCTACGTAATGGTTGGATCATTTCCACCAACCTACGTAATGGTTGGATCATTTACACCAACCTACGTAATGGTTGGATCATTTCCACCAACCTACGTAATGGTTGGATCATTTCCACCAACCTACGTAATGGTTGGATCATTTACACCAACCTACGTAATGGTTGGATCATTTACACCAACCTACGTAATGGTTGGATCATTTACACCAACCTACGTAATGGTTGGATCATTTCCACCAACCTACGTAATGGTTGGATCATTTCCACAAACCTACATAATGGTTGGATCATTTACACCAACCTACATAATGGTTGGATCATTTACACCAACCTACGTAATGGTTGGATCATTGGTGTCAATGAGTGTCAAAAAAGTATAAATCATTTGAAATAAGTATGAATCGTTTGAAATAAGTATTAACCATTTGAAGTAAGTATGAATCATTTGAAATAAGTATAATGAATAATTTGAAATAAGTATGAATAATTTGAAATAAGTATGAATAATTTGAAATAAGTATGAATAATTTGAAATAAGTCCACTTGGAGCTTGGAGGTAATAGATGAGGATCAGTGAATGGGAAAGTAATTTGACACAATGTTAAAATTGAGCCTGAGGGTAGCAGCAATGAAAAGCTGCAAGCTCTTGAGATATCCAAGCCAATACAGGGAGGGAGAAGGCCAGAATGGTTAGTGCCAGAATGACAGAGACATGGACATTAGCTGACCTTAAACTGAAACTCTGCAATATGACGATGCAGCACCACAGATGTTGCAGAAGAGCAGGCACACACACATGCAGTTACACATGCACGCACACGCACACACACACACACACACACACACACACACACACACGCACACACACGTACCCTCTGCAGGCTGATTCCTGGTGGTCCAATCATGGCTATACCAGGAGATGAAGTCTACTGAGACATGTTTGAGACTGTTTGGGGTAGTTTAGGTTCACAAATTAAAATTAGGACATGTATCTTTTACGAGACATCCAATCAATATCAAATCGAATTGGACTTCATTGATCCGAGTAAAGAAATACATTTATCACAGAGTACTGCAACCATGTAACCAAGACTACAGCCCTATAGACTACAGCCCTATAGACTACAGCCCTATAGACTACAGCCCTACAGACTACAGGACTACAGCCCTATAGACTACAGCCCTATAGACTACAGCCCTATAGACTACAGCCCTACAGACTACAGCCCTATAGACTACAGCCCTATAGACCACAGCCCTAAAGACTACAGTCCTACAGACTACAGCCCTATAGACTACAGCCTTATAGACTACAGCCCTATAGACTACAGCCCTATAGACCACAACCCTATAAACTACAGCCCTATAGACTACTGCCCTATAGACTACAGCCCTATAGACTACAGCCCTATAGACTACAGCCCTATAGACTACAGCCCTATAGACTACAACCCTACAGACTACAGCCCTATAGACTACTGCCCTATAGACTACAGCCTTATAGACTACAGCCCTATAGACTACAGCCCTATAGACTACAGCCCTATAGACTACAGCCCTATAAACTACAGCCCTACAGATTACAGCCTTATAGACTACAGCCCTATAGACTACAGCCCTATAGACCACAGCCCTATAGACTACAGCCCTATAGACTACAGCCCTATAGACTACAGCCCTATAGACCACAGCCCTATAGACCACAGCCCTATAGACTACAGCCCTATAGACTACAGCCCTATAGACCACAGCCCTATAGACCACAGCCCTAAAGACTACAGTCCTACAGACTATAGCCCTATAGACTACAGCCCTATAGACTACAGCCCTATAGACCACAGCCCTAAAGACTACAGCCCTATATACTACAGCCCTATAGACTACAGCCTTATAGACTACAGCCCTACAGATTACAGTCCTACAGACTATAGCCCTATAGACTACAGCCTTATAGACTACAGCCCTATAGACTACAGCCCTATAGACTACAGCCCTAAAGACTACAGTCCTACAGACTACAGCCCTATAGACTACAGCCTTATAGACTACAGCCCTACAGATTACAGCCCTACAGACTACAGCCCTATAGACTACAGCCCTATAGACTGCAGCCCTATAGACTACAGCCCTACAGATTACAGCCCTATAGACTACAGCCCTATAGACTACATCCCTGTAGACTACAGCCCTATAGACTACAGCCCTATAGACTACAGCCCTACAGATTACAGCCCTATAGACTACAGCCCTATATACTACAGCCCTATAGACTACAGCCCTACAGATTACAGCCCTACAGACTACAGCCGTATAGACTACAGCCCTATAGACTACAGCCCTATAGACTACAGCCTTATAGACTACAGCCCTCTAGATTACAGCCCTATAGACTACAGCCCTACAGATTACAGCCCTACAGACTACAGCCCTATAGACTACATGCCTATAGACTACAGCCCTATAGACTACAGCCCTACAGATTACAGCCCTATAGACTACAGCCCTATAGACTACAGCCCTATAGACTACAGCCCTATAGACTACAGCCCTATAGACTACAGCCCTATAGACCACAGCCCTAAAGACTACAGTCCTACAGGCTATAGTCCTATAGACTACAGCCCTATAGACTACAGCCCTATAGACCACAGCCCTAAAGACTACAGTCCTACAGACTACAGCCCTATATACTACAGCCCTATAGACTACAGCCCTATAGACTACAGCCTTATAGACTACAGCCCTACAGACTACAGCCCTATAGACTACAGCCCTATAAACTACAGCCCTATAGACTACAGCCCTATAGACTACAGCCCTATAGACTACAGCCCTACAGATTACAGCCTTATAGACTACAGCCCTATAGACCACAGCCCTATAGACTACAGCCCTATAGACTACAGCCCTATAGACTACAGCCCTATAGACCACAGCCCTAAAGACTACAGTCCTACAGACTATAGCCCTATAGACTACAGCCCTATAGACTACAGCCCTATAGACCACAGCCCTAAAGACTACAGTCCTACAGACTACAGCCCTATAGACTACAGCCTTATAGACTACAGCCCTACAGATTACAGTCCTACAGACTACAGCCCTATAGACTACAGCCTTATAGACTACAGCCCTACAGATTACAGCCCTATAGACTACAGCCCTATAGACTACAGCCCTATAGACTACAGCCTTATAGACTACAGCCGTATAGACTACAGCCCTACAGATTACAGCCCTATAGACTACAGCCCTACAGACTACAGCCCTATAGACTACAGCCCTATAGACCACAGCCCTAAAGACTACAGTCCTACAGACTATAGCCCTATAGACTACAGCCCTATAGACTACAGCCCTATAGACCACAGCCCTAAAGACTACAGTCCTACAGACTACAGCCCTATATACTACAGCCCTATAGACTACAGCCTTATAGACTACAGCCCTACAGACTACAGCCCTATAGACTACAGCCCTATAGACTACAGCCTTATAGACTACAGCCCTACAGATTACAGCCCTATAGACTACAGCCCTATAGACTACAGCCCTATAGACTACAGCCTTATAGACTACAGCCTTATAGACTACAGCCCTATAAACTACAGCCCTATAGACTACAGCCCTATAGACTACAGCCCTATAGACTACAGCCCTACAGATTACAGCCCTATAGACTACAGCCCTATAGACTACAGCCCTATAGACTACAGCCCTATAGACTACAGCCCTATAGACTACAGCCCTATAGACCACAGCCCTATAGACTACAGCCCTATAGACTACAGCCCTATAGACTACAGCCCTATAGACCACAGCCCTAAAGACTACAGTCCTACAGACTATAGCCCTATAGACTACAGCCCTATAGACTACAGCCCTATAGACCACAGCCCTAAAGACTACAGTCCTACAGACTACAGCCCTATATACTACAGCCCTATAGACTACAGCCCTATAGAATACAGCCTTATAGACTACAGCCCTACAGACTACAGCCCTATAGACTACAGCCCTATAGACTACAGCCTTATAGACTACAGCCCTACAGATTACAGCCCTATAGACTACAGCCCTATAAACTACAGCCCTATAGACTACAGCCCTATAGACTACAGCCCTATAGACTACAGCCCTACAGACTACAGCCCTATAGACTACAGCCCTATAGACTACAGCCCTATAGACTACAGCCCTACAGACTACAGCCCTATAGACTACAGCCCTATAGACCACAGCCCTATAGACTACAGCCCTATAGACTACAGCCCTATAGACCACAGCCCTAAAGACTACAGTCCTACAGACTATAGCCCTATAGACTACAGCCCTATAGACTACAGCCCTATAGACTACAGCCCTATAGACTACAGCCCTATAGACCACAGCCCTAAAGACTACAGTCCTACAGACTACAGCCCTATATACTACAGCCCTATAGACTACAGCCCTATAGACTACAGCCCTACAGACTACAGCCCTATAGACTACAGCCCTATAGACTACAGCCCTACAGACTACAGCCCTATAGACTACAGCCCTATAGACTACAGCCCTATAGACTACAGCCGTATAGACTACAGCCTTATAGACTACAGCCCTATAGACTACAGCCCTACAGATTACAGCCCTATAGACTACAGCCCTACAGACTACAGCCCTATATACTACAGCCCTATAGACTACAGCCCTATAGACTACAGCCCTATATACTACAGCCCTATAGACTACAGCCCTATAGACTACAGCCCTATAGACTACAGCCCTACAGACTACAGCCCTATAGACTACAGCCCAATAGACTACAGCCCTATAGACTACAGCCCTATAGACTACAGCCCTATAGACTACAGCCTTATAGACTACAGCCCTATAGACTACAGCCCTACAGATTACAGCCCTATAGACTACAGCCCTATAGACTACAGCCCTATAGAATACAGCCCTATAGACTACAGCCCTATATACTACAGCCCTATAGACTACAGCCCTATAGACCACAGCCCTAAAGACTACAGTCCTACAGACTACAGCCCTATATACTACAGCCCTATAGACTACAGCCCTATAGACTACAGCCTTATAGACTACAGCCCTAAAGACTACAGCCCTATAGACTACAGCCTTATAGACTACAGCCCTACAGATTACAGCCCTATAGACTACAGCCCTATAGACTACAGCCCTATAGACTACAGCCTTATAGACTACAGCCTTATAGACTACAGCCCTATAAAGTACAGCCCCTATAGACTACAGCCCTATAGACTACAGCCCTATAGACTACAGCCCTACAGATTACAGCCCTATAGACTACAGCTCTATAGACTACAGCCCTATAGACTACAGCCCTATAGACTACAGCCCTATAGACCACAGCCCTACAGACTACAGCCCTATAGACTACAGCCCTATAGACCACAGCCCTATAGACTACAGCCCTATAGACTACAGCCCTATAGACCACAGCCCTAAAGACTACAGTCCTACAGACTATAATCCTATAGACTACAGCCCTATAGACTACAGCCCTATAGACCACAGCCCTAAAGACTACAGTCCTACAGACTACAGCCCTATATACTACAGCCCTATAGACTACAGCCCTACAGACTACAGCCCTATAGACTACAGACCTATAGACTACAGCCCTATACACTACAGCCCTATAGACTACAGCCCTACAGACTACAGCCCTATAGACTACAGCCCTATAGACCACAGCCCTATAGACTACAGCCCTACAGACTACAGCCCTATAGACTACAGCCCTATAGACTACAGCCCTATAGACTACAGCCCTATATACTACAGCCCTATAGACTACAGCCCTATAGACTACAGCCCTATAGACTATAGGGATGTAGTCTATAGGGCTGTAGTCTATAGGGCTGTAATCTGTAGGGCTGTAGTCTATAGGGCTGTAATCTATAGGGCTGTAGTCTATAGGGCTGTAGTCTATAGGGCTGTAGTCTATAAGGCTGTAGTCTATAGGGCTGTAGTCTATAGCGCTGTAGTCTATAGGGCTGTAGTCTATAGGGCTGTAGTCTATAGGGCTGTAGTCTATAGGGCTGTAGTCTATAAGGCTTTAGTCTATAAGGCTGTAGTCTATAGGGCTGTAGTCTATAGGGCTGTAGTCTGTAGGGCTGTAGTCTATAGGGCTGTAGTCTATAGGGCTGTAGTCTATAGGGCTGTAGTCTATAGGGCTGTAGTATATAGGGCTGTACAGCCCTATAGACTACAGCCCTATAGACTACAGCCTTATAGACTACAGCCTTATAGACTACAGCCCTATAGACTACAGCCCTACAGATTACAGCCTTATAGACTACAGCCCTACAGACTACAGCCCTATAGACTACAGCCCTATAGACTACAGCCCTATAGACTACAGCCCTATAGACTACAGCCCTACAGACTACAGCCCTATAGACTACAGCCCTATAGACTACAGCCTTATAGACTAAAGCCTTATAGACTACAGCCCTATAGACTACAGCCCTATAGACTACAGCCCTATAGACTACAGCCCTATAGACTACAGCGCTATAGACTACAGCCCTATAGACTACAGCCTTATAGACTACAGCCCTATAGACTACAGCCCTATAGACTACAGCCCTATAGATTACAGCCCTATAGACTACAGCCCTACAGATTACAGCCCTATAGACCACAGCCCTATAGACCACAGCCCTATAGACCACAGCCCTATAGACTACAGCCCTATAGACTACAGCCCTATAGACTACAGCCTTATAGACTACAGCCCTATAGACTACAGCCCTATAGACTACAGCCTTATAGACTACAGCCTTATAGACTACAGCCCTATAGACTACAGCCCTATAGACTACAGCCCTATAGACTACAGCGCTATAGACTACAGCCCTATAGACTACAGCCTTATAGACTACAGCCCTATAGACTACAGCCCTATAGACTACAGCCCTACAGATTACAGCCCTATAGACTACAGCCCTACAGATTACAGCCCTATAGACTACAGCCCTATAGACTACAGCCCTATAGACTACAGCCCTACAGATTACAGCCCTATAGACTACAGCCCTATAGACCACAGCCCTATAGACTACAGCCCTATAGACCACAGCCCTATAGACTACAGCCCTATAGACTACAGCCTTATAGACTACAGCCCTATAGACTACAGCCCTATAGACTACAGCCTTATAGACTACAGCCTTATAGACTATAGCCCTATAGACTACAGCCCTATAGACTACAGCCCTATAGACTACAGCCCTATAGACTACAGGCCTATAGACTACAGCCCTATAGACTACAGCCCTATAGACTACAGCGCTATAGACTACAGCCCTATAGACTACAGCCCTATAGACTACAGCCCTACAGACTACAGCCCTATAGACTACAGCCCTATAGACTACAGCCCTACAGACTACAGCCCTATAGACTACAGCCCAATAGACTACAGCCCTATAGACTACAGCCCTATAGACTACAGCCCTATAGACTACAGCCTTATAGACTACAGCCCTATAGACTACAGCCCTACAGATTACAGCCCTATAGACTACAGCCCTATAGACTACAGCCCTATAGAATACAGCCCTATAGACTACAGCCCTATATACTACAGCCCTATAGACTACAGCCCTATAGACCACAGCCCTAAAGACTACAGTCCTACAGACTACAGCCCTATATACTACAGCCCTATAGACTACAGCCCTATAGACTACAGCCTTATAGACTACAGCCCTAAAGACTACAGCCCTATAGACTACAGCCTTATAGACTACAGCCCTACAGATTACAGCCCTATAGACTACAGCCCTATAGACTACAGCCCTATAGACTACAGCCTTATAGACTACAGCCTTATAGACTACAGCCCTATAAAGTACAGCCCTATAGACTACAGCCCTATAGACTACAGCCCTATAGACTACAGCCCTACAGATTACAGCCCTATAGACTACAGCTCTATAGACTACAGCCCTATAGACTACAGCCCTATAGACTACAGCCCTATAGACCACAGCCCTACAGACTACAGCCCTATAGACTACAGCCCTATAGACCACAGCCCTATAGACTACAGCCCTATAGACTACAGCCCTATAGACCACAGCCCTAAAGACTACAGTCCTACAGACTATAATCCTATAGACTACAGCCCTATAGACTACAGCCCTATAGACCACAGCCCTAAAGACTACAGTCCTACAGACTACAGCCCTATATACTACAGCCCTATAGACTACAGCCCTACAGACTACAGCCCTATAGACTACAGACCTATAGACTACAGCCCTATACACTACAGCCCTATAGACTACAGCCCTACAGACTACAGCCCTATAGACTACAGCCCTATAGACCACAGCCCTATAGACTACAGCCCTACAGACTACAGCCCTATAGACTACAGCCCTATAGACTACAGCCCTATAGACTACAGCCCTATATACTACAGCCCTATAGACTACAGCCCTATAGACTACAGCCCTATAGACTATAGGGATGTAGTCTATAGGGCTGTAGTCTATAGGGCTGTAATCTGTAGGGCTGTAGTCTATAGGGCTGTAATCTATAGGGCTGTAGTCTATAGGGCTGTAGTCTATAGGGCTGTAGTCTATAAGGCTGTAGTCTATAGGGCTGTAGTCTATAGCGCTGTAGTCTATAGGGCTGTAGTCTATAGGGCTGTAGTCTATAGGGCTGTAGTCTATAGGGCTGTAGTCTATAAGGCTTTAGTCTATAAGGCTGTAGTCTATAGGGCTGTAGTCTATAGGGCTGTAGTCTGTAGGGCTGTAGTCTATAGGGCTGTAGTCTATAGGGCTGTAGTCTATAGGGCTGTAGTCTATAGGGCTGTAGTATATAGGGCTGTACAGCCCTATAGACTACAGCCCTATAGACTACAGCCTTATAGACTACAGCCTTATAGACTACAGCCCTATAGACTACAGCCCTACAGATTACAGCCTTATAGACTACAGCCCTACAGACTACAGCCCTATAGACTACAGCCCTATAGACTACAGCCCTATAGACTACAGCCCTATAGACTACAGCCCTACAGACTACAGCCCTATAGACTACAGCCCTATAGACTACAGCCTTATAGACTAAAGCCTTATAGACTACAGCCCTATAGACTACAGCCCTATAGACTACAGCCCTATAGACTACAGCCCTATAGACTACAGCGCTATAGACTACAGCCCTATAGACTACAGCCTTATAGACTACAGCCCTATAGACTACAGCCCTATAGACTACAGCCCTATAGATTACAGCCCTATAGACTACAGCCCTACAGATTACAGCCCTATAGACCACAGCCCTATAGACCACAGCCCTATAGACCACAGCCCTATAGACTACAGCCCTATAGACTACAGCCCTATAGACTACAGCCTTATAGACTACAGCCCTATAGACTACAGCCCTATAGACTACAGCCTTATAGACTACAGCCTTATAGACTACAGCCCTATAGACTACAGCCCTATAGACTACAGCCCTATAGACTACAGCGCTATAGACTACAGCCCTATAGACTACAGCCTTATAGACTACAGCCCTATAGACTACAGCCCTATAGACTACAGCCCTACAGATTACAGCCCTATAGACTACAGCCCTACAGATTACAGCCCTATAGACTACAGCCCTATAGACTACAGCCCTATAGACTACAGCCCTACAGATTACAGCCCTATAGACTACAGCCCTATAGACCACAGCCCTATAGACTACAGCCCTATAGACCACAGCCCTATAGACTACAGCCCTATAGACTACAGCCTTATAGACTACAGCCCTATAGACTACAGCCCTATAGACTACAGCCTTATAGACTACAGCCTTATAGACTATAGCCCTATAGACTACAGCCCTATAGACTACAGCCCTATAGACTACAGCCCTATAGACTACAGGCCTATAGACTACAGCCCTATAGACTACAGCCCTATAGACTACAGCCCTATAGACTACAGCCCTATAGACTACAGCCCTATAGACTACAGCCCTATAGACTACAGCCCTACAGACTACAGCCCTATAGACTATAGCCCTATAGACTACAGCCCTACAGACTACAGCCCTACAGACTACAGCCCTACAGACTACAGCCCTATAGACTACAGCCCTATAGACTACAGCCCTACAGACTACAGCCCTATAGACTACAGCCCTAGAGACTACAGCCCTATAGACTACAGCCCTACAGACTACAGCCCTATAGACTACAGACCTATAGACTACAGCCCTATAGACTACAGCCCTATAGACTACAGCCCTACAGACTACAGCCCTACAGACTACAGCCCTATAGACTACAGCCCTATAGACTACAGCCCTACAGACTACAGCCCTATAGACTACAGCCCTAGAGACTACAGCCCTATAGACTACAGCCCTACAGACTACAGCCCTATAGACTACAGACCTATAGACTACAGCCCTATAGACTACAGCCCTATAGACTACAGCCCTACAGACTACAGCCCTATAGACTACAGACCTATAGACTACAGCCCTATAGACTACAGCCCTACAGACTACAGCCCTATAGACTACAGCCCTATAGACTACAGCCCTATAGACTACAGCCATATAGACTACAGCCCTATAGACTACAGCCCTATAGACCACAGCCCTATAGACTACAGCCCTACAGACTACAGCCCTATAGACTACAGCCCTATAGACTACAGCCCTATATACTACAGCCCTATAGACTACAGCCCTATAGACCACAGCCCTACAGACTACAGCCCTATAGACTACAGCCTTATAGACTACAGCCCTATAGACTACAGCCCTATAGACTACAGCCCTACAGACTACAGCCCTACAGACTACAGCCCTATAGACTACAGCCCTATAGACTACAGCCCTATAAACTACAGCCCTATAGACTACATAGCACAAAAAGAACATTGGGTTGTTTTTTAACCCAATCATTTTTTACTGAGTAGGCTTTAGATTATTCAATGGCAACCTGGTGGGAGTGGAATACAAACTATACCATATGCTACCATACATTTCACATCCATATTTAGGCTAATAGTACAGGTTTACAATTAAGCAATAAGGCACAGAGGGGGTGTGGTATATGGACAATATACCATGGCTAAGGGCTGTTCTTACGCACAACGTGTGGCGGAGTGCCTGGACACCACCATTAGCCGTGGTATATTGGCCATATACCACAAACCCCCCAGGTGCCTTATTGTTATTATAAATGGGTTACCAACGTAATTAGAGCAGTACAAATAAATGTTTTGTCATAGCCGTGATAAGGTCTGATATACCACAGCTGTCAGCCAATCAGCATTCAGGGCTCGAACCACCCAGTTTATATTACAATACAAAATACACAAAAAACGGTCAGTGTCATCTTATTAATAATCTATGGATAATGATTAGAAAGAGGCACAACCGCGCGCGGTTTTAGGAACGGCGGAAAGCGCTCCACATCTCAGTTCTCTCGTGCGACTTCCCTCTCAGAGAGAGAGAGAGAGAGAGAGAGACAGACAGACAGAGAGAGACAGACAGACAGAGACAGACAGAGACAGAGACAGAGAGAGAGAGAGAAAAACAGAGAGAAAGATGTGAGGGGTGGACAAGGATTTTGGCCGTCTGACGGTAGCAGCACGTTTTATTCTGCAGCACTCGAGCTCTCAGCTCAGCCTCAGCCAGCGCACCTCGGTAAAGAAGGCACGAAGGGGAAAAATAACCTAAACGAGTGTTCATACAATAGCCTAACGTTGTGTTAAACAGGGTAGCAAACAGTGGTAACGCGTTTTAGGACCACGGAATTGTCCCATTAGTGAGGTAATCGTTTCATCTGACAAGTGAGTTGCCGACCGTGCCACACCGTAAGCAGCGCGCAGACCTGTCCCAGGTGCCAGTGTTGCGTTTCTGCGGCAACCAACGACCAAGTTCAGGCTACACCGCCAGCACCGAAACGGAGTGCGCGGGGGAGGAAAGGAGCCGAGCGCGGTGAATGCTAAGCAACCCACTGGCCGAGGTGTGGGTCCGGTTAACACGAGTAAATGGGATATTCGGTTGGCCAAGGAGGATGTAAAAAATTGCTTGAAGGATGGGGAAACAAGGCTTCTCTGCGTCGACACTGCCACTGCTCGTGTTGGGCTGGCTCACGGTATCCGTTTCCACCGGTGGTAAGTGTAAGATGACGTGTGTTGATGCTAATATGGGAACCACTGGCCCTAATATAATGAAAGGTAGGTAGTCTAGGGGGTCTGGAGAAGCACCACTTCCAACTATAGAGAGAGAGAGAGAGAGCTGTGAGTACAGGTTGTAGAGAGGTTGGGGGTATGAATAGATTGGTATAGTCCAGGGTTTCCCAAACTCTGTCCTGGGGCCCCTCCTGGGTGCAGGAACACATTGGGGAAAAAAGTGTCAAACACAACATAGCAGCCAAGTAGCCTACTATCTATGGTGGTGAAACGGACAGCCCTCTCCAAGGTGCTAATGAATTCAAAGCATTTTAGACGTCACTGCAGTACGCCCACATTCTTGAGTATAGCTGCGGGGCCAAATTTCTTATAGCCTAATTTTCCAGACATCAATGGACAGCAACATTTTTAGACGACACTGCAGAATACCAACCATATGCACACACACTCAGCTGTGGGGCTTACAAGACCCCAATTTCATGTCATTTTCAAGACATCAATGTAGCAGTAGAACAAATATCACAATATTGGAATATAACTTCAAATAAAATAAATCAAGGTAGGCTACAGCAGAACACACATATGAGAATATATAGGCCTCCTGCCTATGTGATAATATGAAGCACATATTCAGATTACAAACTTGTTCTGTGCTGTGAAGGTAAAGGAAAAAAACATTTCCTACCTTAGTTTTCAAAACCGCCCACAATGACTCTCCCCATGTCAAGTCCATTTAACTCCTGAGAGTCAACTTCTTGCTCGAAGCCATGAGCGGGCCTGTGGCTGTGATGTTTGGCCTCCTTCTAAGGCTGTTCTGAAGTCTATTTTATTTTTCATTTTGAGGGTTAACTATAATTATAATAATTAATTATAATTGGTCATTTAGCAGACGCTCTTATCCAGAGCGACTTACAGGAGCAATTAGGGTTAAGTGCCTTGCTCAAGGGCACATCGACAGATTTTTCACCTAGTCGGCTCGGGGATTAGAACCAGCGACCTTTCGGTTACTGGCACAACGCTCTTAACCACTAAGCTACCTGGGTGTCCTGGGTGTCCTCTGTAGCCTTGTCTACATGGCTTGCTGCCACCAAATGCTCCTTGGTTCAGGCATGTTCAAAAACCTTTTTTCAGAGGGCTCTTTGTTGTTGTTTTTGTACGTCTGAGGCAGAGGATGTTAATTTACTGTACATTCCACCCACTCTTTTGCTAGTTTAATCCCCTCCAGTCGTTTCTAGACACAAGCTCCCTACCTTTTAGCATGTTGTACAGCCCAACTTTTGAATTCTGCATGACAAGCCAGGGGTTATACGTTTGCTTGTTCTTGAACTGCAAATTGTACCTGCTCCGAGCACTTCATCGGTGGATGCACTGTCCCCCTCCCCACCAACTGCCCCCAGCTCCCCGTCTCCCCCCCCAGCTCCCCCGTCTCCTGCGGAGTCTGACTCGCTAGTAGGCCTACTAGCTAGTGGAGGTGCTGCTGGTGATGCTGAACTGGCGGGATTAGTATCGCCATCAGAAACAGTTTGCCCCTCACTCCTCTCCTCCGGCACTGACAGTTCTCTGGCTCGTTCTGGGTTCGATTCACCATCTTTCTCTGGATTTTTGGACTTGAAAAATGTCAAACTCGATTGCCTTTTATTATCAATTTGTTATTTGGCTTTCCCACGATTCAAATTCAAGGACATCAACCACCCGAGCCACTGCCTGTTCACCCCGCTATCATCCAGAAGGCGAGGTCAGTACAGGTGCATCAAAGCTGGGACCGAGAGAATGAAAAACAGCTTCTATCTCAAGGCCATCAGACTGTTAAATAGCCTTCACAAGCACATTAGAGGCTGCTGCTGCCTATTGAAATCACTGGCCACTTTAAGAAATGGAACACTAGTCACTTTAATAATGTTTACATATCTTGCCCTACTCATCTCATATGTATATACTGCATTCTATAATATTCTACTGTATCTTAGTCCATGCTGCTCTGTCATTGCTTGTCCATATATGTATATATTCTTAAATTCCATTCCTTGCTTAGATTTGTGTGTATTGGGTCGATGTTGTGAAATTGTTAGATATTACTTGTTAGATATTACTGCACTGTCGGAGCTAGAAGCGCAAGCATTTCGCTACACCCGCAATAACATCTGCTAAACACGTGTATGTGTCAAATATTTTTTTTTGATTTGATTTGAATTCAGTAGGGAGACGACTAGACTAGGCTACATGACGTGTTTACGTATGGATCTCTTCACTAGCTGACCACCACTACCAAGACCTGTGTCAAGATCAGTTACTTACCCCACCGGCCCTCCTCATAACCTCTATGTACAAATAAGACAGCAGGTCTGGAATCAGTGTGGCAAGATAGGATGATTACATAGAAGGAACACCACGCTTTTACATGATGGTCTTTCTGGGGGGGGGCAACTTGATTTAATGCTGATCGCTTTTATTAGAATGCGATCAGTGAAATAATTAATAAATGCCACGGGAGGTACCGGATCTGGGCAAATAGGTGCCGGAACAAACAAAGTCAAATCTGAGAGGTGCCGGATCCTGTTCCGGCTCAAATTAAGCACTGGTATATGGCCAATACACCACGGCTAAGGGCTGTTCTTATGCACGACGCAACGGGGAGTGCCTGGATACAGCCCTTAACTGTGGTATATTGG